CACTTTGTGCAAATAATACGTTGCTGCAGTTACTTTGCAGACTAGTGAAAATACAAAGCAGGTTTAGTTATGTTTTAAAAGATTATTCTTTCATATAGCTCTTGTATACCTATGCCAGCCTGTCTTTCTGATGAAGCTGGATCTCTTGTTCACTTAACAACTTCAGAGGTCTGAAAGAAAAAAACTTGGTTTGCGTGCAATGCAAACAGATGTACTGTTTGTGGGAGGTGCAGGTAGACACAAGAGCAGTGAATTTAACAATGAGTTGCAGAAGTGAAGAAGGAAAACATGCAGAAGGGAGGTCAGCAGTGAAAATTTAGCACAGCTCCACGCACACGTGTTATGACAAACTTTACTTACAGCTTCCCTATCTTTCATGTTAATTACACAGGGCATAAGATAGTTATTATTTACACAATAAGTAACTAGTCAGATTTTTTCTTTTGTGGTGGTCAGTGTAGCAAACCTTGCCACAGAGTGTTGAAGTTATTTGAAAGCAGAGTTACTTTCCTTCATATAACCATTATCGTTAAAATATTCAAACAATAATGAAATACTGACTATACCCCTCTGAATTGAAAAACAAAACAAAACAAAAAAACAAACTACCCAAGCCCTAAAACCCCACCTTTCCTGCCATTTTTTTTTTCAGTTATTCGTTGAATGGAGATGTTGCTATTGAATTTGAGAGATGGGATTAATGTGACAGATTTCTACGTAACCCTTACATGCTTTTAGAGCCCATTTTCCATTGTGTCTGGCTGAAGTAGATTGTAATTGGCACTTTCTGAGACCAGGCACCTGGACATAAAGACTGCAGAAATGAAACGTGTAGGAATCTAAGTGATTGCACTAACTTCATTCAGACTCCCTGGCTGCTATTGAGTTTTCTGGAGGTAGCCATCAAAAGACATGGGAACATAAAGAAGTTCTGCTTGTGTTATTGGGGAGTTCATTAGAATGTATTAAACAGCAGAGGTGAGTGCGAAAGTGCTTCTTTGATGATGTAGTGGTGGCTGGTAGTAATTGTGGAATAATCAGAGGCAGGAGCTGAGATTTCAGTAATGAGGGATAAAATGTCCATTAAGTACGGAAGGCATGGCTGATTTTGAGCTTTGGAAATGACACAAGGTAGTCTTCACTCAGAAATAATCTGAGAAAACGTAATTAAAGGGAATATTGAATAAGGTTCTGTTGATGAGTGTACTGCTAACGTTTCTTAACTTAGGCTTTTGTAATCCTTACGGGTGATAAGGAAATCTTCTTCAAAAAACACAAAACAAATTTACAATTTTTCATATGCATTTCATTAACACTATGCAGATGAACTGTGAAGTGGACCTTTTTATAGGCAGAACTTCTAGCACTAATAGTCCATTTTGCACAGTTAAGGTAATTTTTCAGTTCTTGAGTTGTTAATTTTGTTACAGAACTTAGACCAATAACTGTTTTAAAATTATTTTTAGAACAGTGGCAGTTTTTTTCAATTTTTCCAAGAATCTGGTACAGTATGCCTGTGTACAAACTCCACTCCTACAAGAAACACAAATTCTCTACAGATCCATTTAAAAGTGAGAATAACTCTATTTAACTATCTATTACTAAAGTAATAACTCCATGAAATCCCTAATTCTCTTAAATTGGAACAAATTTAAAGAACTTTCCTTTGTTTGATGCCATTGTTCAAAGTTATCATTATATTGTTTAATCTGCATATTAGTAACCTAAATATATGACAGATGGTATGGGTGCTTTATGGAAAGTTATGTCCGTATCTGGTGGGGCCTGGGTGAGAAGTCCTCGCTGAGTCATCTCAGCAAAAAGGAATTAGGGGAATTTTATGCTGAAGGCTTCAGGATATATAGAAGTATCTTGGAAGAGGTGCTTTAAATTTTCCTCTGTGCTGCAAAAATAGAATAATCTTTTAATTACTCTAAGTTTTGAAAAAATAAATCATTCTGTCTTTAGTGGCTGCATATAAAAAGCTCTGTCTTTTGATACAGCAGGAGGGTGAAAAGAAACCTTACAAGTGTAGGAATTTGCACAAATTGGTTATTTCTCACAAATATCTTCAATAATACCAGTCTGGGTTCTCAGAAAATGGTCTTGCTCTTCCAAATGTCTTTTCCCTTGTTTTACCTCATAGTAGCACATCCAGGTGGAATTTGCCTTTCAGAAGAAAACTACTTTCCAAATAAAGAAATCATTTCTTGCTGCAGAGATTTTCACAGTTAGTTACTTTTCTTGGTAAATCAGAGTTTTAAGTCAAATTCCTCTGCAGGTGTCTAATTTTTCTCTCTGTTCACTGTGATGTAAATCAAAGTCTGTTTTATTTTAAGAGGAAAAGAGAGCCTGATTACTGTAATATTAAAGATTTTTAAAAGGATACATCATACATCTGTTGATTATGGCAGTAGTGTTTTTGTTAGGGTTGTGATTCCTCCTCTAAGCACCTATTTACAGGCACATGCATGTTTTTGATTCAGAGCTGTCTGCTGTCCGGGAAATGCCAGACAGAGGCGTGTGGGAGCTGCTGTTTCTTAATTGCTTGGATAACTGACAGTGAGTCTGGTTCCAAAACTTGCTGTGTTTATAATTCTCGATACAAAAGGCACAGAAAGTAGATGTGATGGTGCCAGATAGCATCTGTTTTACGTAGCTTTTGATTTGCATTTTCTGATGTGTTATATTCTACTATTAAATGATGCAGTATAGGCAGGAGGTAGGTAAGCTGGCCGTTGACTTCATCCTGGCTGTGCTTGGGGCCAGGCAGGGGGATGCTCCTTCCTTTGGCAGAACAAACCTCTGGACCACCTGGTGAGACAGAAAGAAAGAAAACAGGATGTGCAACAAGTGGAGAGGCTTAAGTGTGAACTGACATTAGGAGGCTCTGGAGATGAGAGCAAAGATACTATCAGGGCTGGGAAGTGGTGGAAAGAAGGCTTTCCACAAGCATTTAGCTCGAGTCTTGCACAACAGGCTGTATCCCAGGTGGGCACTGAGAGTTGGCCTATCAAGAGCAAGTCCAAAGTCTGAATGGTGCAGGGGGAGTTTTGTTTACAGACTTACTTTAAACTAGTAGAGGAAAAAACTTGTGGGGCTGAAAGATGGGAAAGTGTAGGGCCCAAGTGGTACTAGATGAACGATGCTTGTATTGTCTGTATATAGCTGTCTGCTAAAATGACATAGCATAAAGCCAGACGGTGATTTGCTAGGAGAGGCATAGCTACTAATAAGTATGATGTTATTTCAGTCTTTTCCTATGTGTGTTTGTACTTGCCATACTTACTGCTTGAAAAGATCACACCTGGAAAATTATCAGAAGGGCTGTATTAACAAAGTCACATTCATTTGTGATCACCTTTTGTCATAGCTGAGATTCAAAACTGTTTCATCAACAAGACTTGCAGATAATAACTTCAGTGCAATATAAATATGTAACTTTCTACCTTCACCACTACCCCTAACTTCAAAAGAAGAAACCCATGGCAACAGTGACCTACTGTATGAAACAATGTAGAACCCTTCTTTTTAATGTGATACAACTCCAAATATTCTGTTTTTCTTATAAATACCTTTTAGCATGTAACTTCAGAATTGTCATTGAAGATTTGAATATTTATTTATCTTTATTTGATTTTATTTTTTTTTTATTGAATATTTATTTTTAAACTTTAGGCAGTAGTACATATGGAACTTCAGCTGAAATCAGTAAATACAGAATGTTAACACTAGCTTATATTTATGAATTATATGGATTATCAAAGGATATTTGGTTTATAGGCAACATTTACTGTACGGAAACATTTTATTTTGAGTTGTTGTTTACATTCATATTGCAGTTCTAGGCAGGTTCAAGTTGCTGGTTAACCTTTGAAATGTATTACTTGCCTAGTGCTTAACAGAGATAGATGATGAAGAAATGCATATTAAAGCCTCTCAAAATAGAGGATCATCAATCTTCACGTAGCTTGGCTTCATGCAGCACACTGCTATCCAGGGTGCACAAGGCCCATCTACAGCCCGTGGTAGCTTGATGCATCCAGGCTCCTGCTTTTGCAGATTCTCAGTGGAACTGTCAATTGGACATTACTGTGTGCCTCTGCCTGCCTTTAATATCTCTTCAATAATTTAATATGTTTTCTGACTCTGTGTGCTAAACTCATAACCTATCACTTATTATTTTATTGACCTGATGGATCTGGCTCTAGAATCTCAGGCAGTGTTTGAAACTTACTGTTCACACTTGGTAATATTTTCTGCTTGGTCCTATGGGTAATTAAAAGCATGAGCTCCTAATGAGTAACACAGCTATAAGAAGGGGTTTAGATCTTCTAACTGGTAGTCCTTGAAATACCTTGATCTAAATTTGAATGTACAGCATTCACAACTTTGACATAAAAATTATACGTTTGGTGAATTATGTGTGTACTTTTTGGAAAGTCAAATTAAAAATAAAATCATTGGGTTACCATAGAGCCTCACATGACTTTTTGATGTCAACTTTTTCTGTCATTCTATTAATAAAGGCCTGTGATAAAATGTTTAAAGAGGTCTTGGTACTTTCTGGGACTGTGCAAGCTACGCTTTCTCATACTGTTTCTAAGTCTTTGCAAAGGAGCCTGAGCGAGCTGCTGTGTGTGTTCAGTCAACTCCCCAGTAACCTGCCCAGAGAGAGCTTGGAAGGACTTTGCCCAAACACTGCTGACTGTCAGTTGGTTTTGTGCTTTAACTTGTCTACCTTTAAAAAAAAATAAATGCTGGCTATCATGGCTTCTGTAGCACTGCTTCTGTAACTCTACTAAAATAAATAACACGCATAAAGTGACAAAATATAATTTACAACAGTTATAGACAGCAACAGGAAAGGTATTTGTAGTTGTGGAAGCACCCATTGTCACTATAAATGAAGTTAATCTTCAATAATCTGAAAATGGTAAAATGGTGTTGTTTAAATAAGTTAGCCTATTAAATATTTTATTTTTTTGTTTAATATCTAGGACGAAGATCAGACAGAGGAGGACAACAGCAGAGTTGAGCCTGTTGGACATGCAGACACTGGTTTAGAGAATGCTACCAACTTTTCCCTGGAGTAAGTTACTGGCAGAATGCATTGTTTTAATGATGAGTCTTGAGATTGAATATACACTAGCAAAAAACTCAGAATAATATGAATGATACTGTTCTTAAAGTAGGGCAATCTTTTTTAGGTCATGTTTTCATTTTAAAGGATTTGCTTCATGGACCTTTTTAAAGCAGATTTTAAACAGTTTAAAAAGCCTGTGTAAAAGATAAGCATTAGAACCTTGACATTTATAAATGCTGATGCTACAGTAGATTCTTTGCCTCAAAGGAGATGCTCATTTCATGGGACTCTGAAAACCTGACAGAAGGAATACAGTCAGTGCTAGTGCAAATAGATCAACAGGCAAGAATTTCAAAGGGGGAAATCTTAATTCCTATCACCAGTTCACAGTCTAATGGGAAGTTGCTACATGATGGTCACATAAGTTTTGTGGTCAAAAAACTCATACTTTATGGCTAGATCAGAACTGATGTTATTTATTCAGGACTGGCCAACTCCTGTAATTTAAAAATCAGTAAAGGATTCTTTGATCATGAGATAAGGTAAGCCTGACCTGTTGCATTTCATTGCAAAGAACTTTTTCATACCTCACTATGAAATAAATGAGAAAATATTCCTTCTACCCTTAAATTAAAACTTTTAAGTTAATTAGACTTAAATTTTAATTAAAAAAGATTCTCCTACCCTATTCCTTCTGAGTTATATTATGAACTAAGTGCAGAGGGTTTAAATGTTAGATACAGATCATGGTGACTTCTGTTAGGCAATAAATGCTGACTTTTACTCTGTTCCATTTACAAAATCTGATACACTGGAAATTCCAAGTGCTGTTTGCTAAATAGTATTTGCAAAACTTCTGTCAAATTTAATGGTTCTGGGGGTTGCTTTAAGTAACTTGCTGACTTTCCATCATATGCTATTTCATTCTTTTCTGTTTTGATATCATCTTTGTATGTTTATTCTAAGTACTTGGCTCAAACTTCTGAGAAAATCAGGAAGCAAAATTGAAACAACCTCTCTTAGGAAGAGATTATTTCCTTTTGTTTTCCATTTTATAGAGTTTAACGTTTGAATTTGGGATGGATTTTGTGGAAGAAAAGGCATAGGAAAAATTATTGCCTATACTAAAATCTAAGCTAAGTTTCCATTTATGACAGTTCCAGGGACTTTTTAGGCTATCGGGTAATGACAGGACTAGGGGCAATGGGGCAAAGCTGGAAGTGGGCAGATTCAGGCTGGACGTGAGGAAGAAGTTCTTCACCATGAGAGTGGTGAGACCCTGGAATGGGTTGCCCAGGGAGGTGGTTGAGGCCCCATCCCTGGGGGTCTTTAAGGCCAGGCTGGATGAGGCTCTGGGCAGCCTGATCTAGTGTGAGGGGTCCCTGCTCATGGCAGAGGGTTTGGAACTGGGTGATCCTTGTGGTCCCTTCCAACCCTGACAGATTCCGATCTGTTTTAGCAGAGGACTTAGTAGTGTTGGCTTAATGGTTGGACTCGATGATCTTAAAGGCCTCTTCCAACCTAAAGGATTCTATGATTTTATTTTCACCTGTTCTCTTCCTCAGCCCTCAGTTTTCTTTAAAGCCAATAGTAAAGTTTGAAACAGGTTGATCATAGGGAGCCATGGGCATAACAATACCAAAAGAATCCTTTTAGAGTACCTTTTGGAGGTGAAAGGCAGTGCTTGATTCCTGTGAGCTGCTTTACACACCCGTTAATGAAAACTTAGCCTTAATTTACAGTGAGAATGGAGTTAGCCTATACAGAAACTGGAACAGGGAATGTTACCCAGTGCTATAATGCTTTCAGTCTTAAAACATTGGTCCAGGTCTGAAGTGTAATATGCTTTTTGCTGATGTCTCTCAGCTCTCTTGTTGCAATACTTTCATGAGCTAAACAGTGGCAGCAAGGAGAGAGACCTTCCCTTTGTGTTGGTTAAAAAATGAATTAAAAAGATCATACACAAATTGAGACATACAACAAAAGCAAAGGCTACCTTAAGAACAGATTTTAAAAAATTAATAGGAAGAAATAAAACACTAACTGCAATGCAGGATTTTTGTTGACTTCCTAACAATATGTGGTCTGATTATTCTCAGACTCCAGATTAAGCGCTGCAAGCTTTCATGGTGGGCCACCATATGTTCAAGAGTTTACTGAAGGAAGTAGAAAATCTTTTACTGCTATCATAGGGCATTGATCTTGCTCTTTGCTCCATTTCTAGATTAAATTTGATTTGTATGCTTGAGAGAAACAAGCGTCTCAAAGATCTGTGTACACATATATATAGTGCCAGAAAATATGGAAAAAGTCTGTGTTACTAGAGAGAGGCATAAGCCAGAAATTTAGATTGTGGCTCTTGTTCACATCTCTGACTTCCAGATTTACTGAGAAATTTGGCCTTCATGTCTTATTTTCTCATTTGGGTATTTTTAACTCTTTACGTGTTATGGGCTTATTCCACCTTTCCAGATGTGGGTATGTTTCAGTCACATCAGTAGATTTAGTCCAAAACTATTTCTAGAGTTTTTGCATGCCTCTTTCTGAACCTCTGTGTTCTTCTTTCACTTTCCCCCCTCTCTACAGTAAAAAGTGTAATTGAAAACTAGATGAAGAGTTGCTTCAGAAGGATGTCTGGTTGGTTTTGAATGTTATAATTAAATCTCTACTTTGGAAACTTTGCCTAGTGAGGAGATATAGATACAGCAATCTTCCAACAAATGAAATTAAATTACAATAAAACAAATGAATGTGTTTTAAACAAGAATTTAACCAGTTAAAAAAGTAATAATTCTCTTTTGATTAAGGGACAGTTATGTGAAAGCAAATGCTAAGGCTTAGAGTGGGCTTTCCCTAAGATAAAAATGAAAGCATGCTAGTGCTATCATCAGCCATTAGGCTTATGAGGAAAAATTGTATGTGCTATTTCAAGAATTTTTGCTCAATGGTCCAAACAGTTCCATTTAACTTTATAATAAGGAAGAAATATACCCTGAAATAACAGGTTTATTTCTTCCTTATTCTAAAGCTAAATGCTATGTAGCAAACTATTTTTATGTAGCAAACTAAGTTTACAAATGATTTCACTGATTATTGTTTTATTAATTGAACTATTTTTGCTGATTGATCTCCTTTCATGCCATCAGATTAATCTTCAGGTACGTAGCGTTCAGCAGTGCTTTCATCACCATGACTTGATTTCTGGAATAGTTTTGTTTTTCTCTGTATGTTTTTGTGGGTTTTTTTGGTTCCTTCACAGTACATGTTCATGTTCCCTCATTCATCATTGTCTCACAGTGATATGGTAAAGCTCGTAGAAGTCTCCAATGACGGTGGGCCTTTGGGAATCCATGTAGTGCCTTTCAGTGCCCGAGGAGGAAGGTAATGTATTGTGTAGGATTTTAACTGAATTGTAGCTTGGTTGTGTTAATTTTTATGTTGTGTGCCTTTGCCTTCTGCAGAATATTGTCTCTCATGGGAAACTGAAGTATAAAGATGTTTCCTTCTTGATTCTTAAAAACTATGATCAGCTGCTTTAATTCAGGTGGATATTTATGCAACATTTCCTTGCTGGCTGTTTAGAGCCTGAAGTTCCCAAATAACAGCAGGAGTCGAAGCCGGAGGAGTCCTGTGTGGGCACTTGATAAGAGTGGAACACAGTCATCGTGCTTTCAAAATTCAAGTGTTGTCCCGTCTGTTGGGGTTAAAATGGAGTGGCAAACCCAGTTGAAACATTCTGGTTTTAGGGAAGGTGAACCTGTTTTATGATATGATATTCTGGAAGTCCTGAAGTTAGATTGTTTACAAAAATGGTGCAAACGAAGGCTACAATATTAAAAAATACAATATGGGGGGATTGTATTTTTAAATAGAATGCATAATCTCTAACCCTTACTTTGCTAAAGTTGAGTTTTAACATGTAAGGTCATTAACATCATGTCAGAAAAATAACTATTGTAGCAATTAGCAGTGGTTTTGGAACTTTTAAGTTTGTTGAAAAAAGATAGTTCAGGAATATATGGTAATGCATATTCTTATTTCTTGAAGAAAAAGGGGAACAAATACGTGTTTTGAAAAGTAATCTTTGATTACACATGAAAGGCGTTATGCTCTCCCGTCTGGCAACCCAGCAACACTTTTGGTTTAGTCATTAAAAGCAAAACTAACTTGCTATATGTACATAACTCTCAAATATTAATACCCATTCAGAAATGATAAATGTATTTTTCCTTCCATATCAAATACCTTCACAGGGTTTTAAATACAGCATAAGAGGTTTATTTGTAGTTGTTACTTTAAACCCAGTGAATTCATGGCCATACTGGCATGCATTATGAGAAGATGTATTTTTTTTCAATTTAAGGCTACTTTTTTTCTGACGACTACAAGTATTAAGAACTACTGTAAAGTGGTAAATTCTTCTCTTCATAATCTGAAATTTAGTAAATTCATTGTGGGGATGGAAAGGGCATGAGTGAATGGTACTTCACACATAAGCTCAGAACTAAATCCCATAGAATTGGAAATGGTTGAAATGTTCACACAATTATCTGGGATTTAGACAGTGTGAAGGCCAAGAAAAAGACTGATTTAAGAATGTTGGCTGCCTACTAAATACTTATTTAATAAAATTGATGTTAGAAATTAATATTTTGACATTTTAAATAAGAATTTTAACTCAAGTAAAATTCACTTCTAGGGTGTTAATGTGGTTGTCAAGTCTGAGGTGAAACTTAAACTGTTTATATGTAATGAAAGCATGTAAAATGAAAAAGCCATAAACACTGAAATAAAATAGCTCACTGTTTTTTTAAGGATGCTGGCTCTGTCAAGAGCTATGGAGGACTTTTTTGTCCTGAGTTTGGGATTATATGGTAAAGTTTTATTACAGGGAAGACAATTTTATATATAGATGTTTAGAATCAGGACATATTTGAAAATCCTGTTATAAGTGAGATAATTTTTTTAATTAAAATTTTTATACTTTTCCACCATAATACTAGAACTCTACTCATTGAAAAGTGGGTGGTATGTGCAATTGGTGTCTTTTGAGTTTTTTTTGAACACCCCAAAATAATCTTCTAGAAAGGGGAGATAATTGTGTCCATGTCTTGAAAGTGTGGAGGAACAGAGTTGGAGAGGACCTCAGATATTTCCAAAACATTTCTCCCAAGCTCTCTGCATTGTAGTGGAAGAAAAGTGGAGTTCATTGTTTGGTCTTGATCATAAGCACTTGTGTTGTACTGCTCCTTTACTGTCAGCTGTGCCCACACTTTTGTACTTCTGCACGCTTTCAGTGAGAACAAAGGGAGAGCAGATGCTTGACAGGGATCTTCTCCCTACTTGTTTCTCACTCTAGCACAAGGCTGCTCTTTGTTCCTCCCCTGGCTGTAAAGCGTAATGCTCTGTGCTACAGTGAACTGACTGACTTGAGCAGGGGATCTGCCCAGTCGAAACCTAAATATACAAAACCAAACACAGGACTCAGTAAAGACTTTGAAGGGTGCCCAAGAAAAAGAGATCTGATGTGTCAAATAGCTTCGCCCATTGGCTCACCAATTTGTTATATTTGCTTGGTGTTCAATTACAGTCATGCTGTGTTTTCAATTATCTTTCTTCCAGTTCCTTTATTTTGCTTTTGAAAATGTTAATCAATAGGCAGTGGTTATTAAATCAATAATTTTAAAAAGTGGAAAAAGTGTAGAAACAAGGTAGTGCAAATCTCCCTTTTTTTCTTCTAAACAATAAGCAGGGGCCACCTCCCACCAAAAAATCCCTCCTCCTCCAAAGCAAACACCACAAACCTTAAAAAATTATATGCTGTAACACTGTCCTGTATTTATCTTGAGAAAATATTTTACTTTTTCATGGTCTTTTGAGGGTTTGAAGAATCTGTTTTCAATATTGGCTTTTGTTCTTGAACAACAGATGGAAAGATCTTTGCTTCATCTATATAGATGCTACTAATTATTTCTGTTCCTAGTAAAACTGAGACCTTTTTTAAATGAAAAGATAGGTCTCTATAATTGATATGTACAGATGTGGTCAAACTTTCTTCTATGGATATGTTTCCTTATTATCCTTCTGGTTTTGCCTCTAGAAGCTTATCGGTCCTTTATTGGCCTTTTTGATCATATGCTTTCGATAACAGAGTGCGTTCACCTTATCAAAAGGGAGGAAGTATACCTATTCACTACCTTATGGTTGTGAAGTTTTTTAAGATAAAGGTTTTGTTTGCAAGACCTGCTTGCATGTTTTTGCAGTAGCATAGATGCAGTGCTAAGCAGAATAGGAGACATGAAAATGAAAGCTGAAAGGAGGACAGAATAAAAAGTGAACACAAAAGTGTGTAAATAAGAGCAGAGCAAAGAGGAAATGAATGAGAGAGAAGCGTAAAAGGAAACAAAATTCTAAATCTGTGTAAAACTGCCTTCAGTATCAATCCTTCCCTCCTTATTAGGTGATCAGAGAGGAGAGCAAGCACTCAGTCCCTTGAGAATAGCATTCGAGCAATCCTGGCTAATGGGAGATGTTATGTTGATGTGCAAATGGAGTTTCATCGAGTTTTCCTCAGCAAGCTTAATAGTAATTATAGCGTAATTTACTGTTATATGGCCTTTTCTACTTTTAAGAGCCTTTGAAACCTTCTCAAGCTCTAGACTCTAGCTGCTTTTCTGAAACTCTGCCATGTCTGTCTTTGGAACGAGATTCAACTGACACAAGAAATATTCACAGAGATTTCTGATGTTATCTCAAATAATGATATGGAAGTTATAGTGCCATAGTCCCAAGACTATTGTGAAGTCAACTTAGTAAAAAAGAACAGAAAAGGATCTGGATATTCTTCTGAAAAACCCATAAAGTACATCCATTAATAAGTATCAGTACTTTGATGTAGAGCAGTATGTAGGGCTCTGCCAGCTCTTCTTCCTCCTGAAACATGCCACAAAATTAATGATAAACCATACAGATAACACTTGGCAGCTAAAATATTTAATCTGTGTTTTTATTTTATATATCCTAAATATTTTAAAAATATTATGGAAGTCTCAGAAGAATGGGGAAAATAAAAACATGAATTTTATTGCTTTTGTCAGTTTAAATTTCAAATTTAACAGATCATATTAAAGAAATGAAAAACCTCAAGTGAAGGTAGGCATTGATGTATACACAATTCTTGTACTACAAAATTGTACATTTTTCTGTTCTGTAGTTTGGTGTTTGGGTATTTTTTTTTCTTTTAGTGGAAGTGCCCTTCATTTTCTAGAGTATATAAATCATTTTATGTTTCACTGTAAAAATTTTTAGTCTTTTACTCAAGATACAAAGAAAACAGAATTAATGTCTAATGGCCATTGTCCATACTGGGAGCCCTTCATACCACCTTCAAGGTGGCTCTGTAATAATTGTATTCTGTTTGATCGTTTAGGAGATCTGTGTTATCTACATCTCCATTTATTTCTCTCCTGTATTTCCAGCCTTTTAAGTCTCAAAGGTAGCCATGATTTTCAAAAGCACATTTATTGGGAAAAGACACCCTGTGGTGCAAATGTGCCATTTCCTCACTCCTTTAGCTGAATTCAAGGCTTTCTTTGTCTTTTCTTGCTGATATCAGCATCTTAAAAGTTATGTAAACTTAATTTGAGGTATTATTCAAGCTAAAATGCTGATGAGTAGTTAACAAAGGTTGGAAATTGGTTCTGGACTTCATATGTCAAGGCTGATAAAGTTATTTTAATGCCTCCTCAGTAGTGCTGTGATGTCAATGTTGTGCAAAGGAGTTTATGTCAAATTCAGGATTGATCAGCTACAGTACTTTAACCTGAATAAACAAGCTGATTTACCTACTCTGGCCTCCAAATTTCAGGAAATCTATACTGTGTTTAAGTTCCTGTAGAACTTCTCAGAGATCTTCCATTGTGTGAAACCACTACACATAGAGTTTTCAGTCAATCCTCATTTTTGTCCCTTAATCTAGTTTTTGCCTTTTCATGTTAGTGACTTTACATAAATATCTAAATTAGATATTTTCTGTTCATTCTGATTTGATTATATTGCAATTAGCTTGCAGGTAATAGGTAAATAACTTCAGTGTGTACATAAAATGGGCAGTGTTGGATAAATCATATTCTAGATGCTCAGTGTAATATTTTTATTACTCTCACAGTATTTGCACTGTCAGTTTTTATTAAGAGAAATTATCATCATTTCCATACAGCTGGGTGGCATGTGGAGAGTTCACAATTTCAAAGAACTACCCAGACTAACTCAGGCAGTTTAGATGTCAATAAAACATTCACTGCTTATTTCTAGTTTTATCACTGGTTGTAATTTATACTGAGAACTGAAATGTTAACACATGTAGCTGAATTTATTTTAATTGTATAATTAGAGTAATGAACCTTGTGGAAATACAGTGGTGCAAATGCTAACATAATCTAAGCTGTTTACATTCCCAATTAACTATTTAAAACAAACACAAAGATTGAGCTCTGTGGTTTGATACTGTTTCCCTTCTGCCCCCAAGTCAGCCAAGGTTAGGCTAAAACAGGGTAGGTACCACATTTCCATTTCTAATTATTGTTTAGACAGCATTGTAGACTTGCACAGTGTTTGGCAGAAGTTCACACAATATTTGGTATCATTCTTGAATAAGTTATTGTTTAAAATATTTATAGTAGAAGAACTTATGTTACAAAGCCTGTTGATTTCAACTGGACAAGATTAAGCAAATTCAAATGCACCCGTATATTTGTATGCTACATCTCTGTGTTTAAACAAATACATATACTGACTTGTGTATTCCATACTAGATTAGTTTACAGGCTTTCAAAATTTATGTTTTCCTAATGTAGAAAATGTAATATTGAAACTGTAGTAGAGCTACATCTCTACTTATCAGGATAAATGGTGGTGGCAGACGGCAGGGAAAAAAAAAATCCAATTAGTTTTAGGTTATTGCATATTTGCAATATCAGGTCTACTCTGTTTATCTCCAGTTACTGCAACAACAAACATGAATTCCCATAATGCCTTTTTGTTTAGAGTCATATTCTTGCATCTAACCATAATATACTGAAGAACTGCTGTAGGAAATTGATAAGCTTTTGTTACTAAAATTTTCAGGAACCTTTTTTTTTTTTTTTTTTTTTTTTTGCAAGTTCTAGGAGAGTTTACTCTGCATTCAGGAAATTGTTTCTGGAATTGTGTCTGAAGGGAACTTTTGCTCCATGTGTTTATATTTAAAAAAAATAAATTAAAAATTAAAAGGCACTGTGAGGATCCTGGTTACAAATTTGACTCAGACTGTTCATACAGCCTTGAATCTGTTCTCAGTGACTTAAGCCTTGGTTAACCTAGCTCTAACATTTGTTAAAAAGCAAAATCCTCATGAGCACCATATGTTGTCTTTGAGATGAGCAATCTTGCATTAGTAGAACTTGTAGCCTTTGTTTAATGAGATTATTTGCAATTTTGACTGGTAGTTTCTTTATGCGTTACATTATTTTACCGTTGGTTAGGATTAGTAATATCTTTCCTAGATTTGAGAGCTTAGGTGAAGTAAATTTAAGAAGTGACAAACAATGCATAAAGATGCATCTTGCATTAACAATTTAATATAACTTGAAACAGTAGAAAGCAGGGTTTCAAGAAAAATGCTATGCAAAACCCAATTACTTTGTATTCATAAGTGTGTGGAGACACTGGGATGAAATAATCAGTATTTTGTGTAGCGTATTGTCATAGTATTAACTTGGAGTCTTGTACTTTATGTAGAATATGTCTTGATATTTAGCATATCAATATTTTGATAATTTTTATGTTTAACCATGTAAACAAAACAACTGTTGCAGTTACTATGTATGCTCTTGTGCAAGCATTGTGCACATCCAAATTCTGAATTTGGCCATTACAGAGGAGCACACCTGTGTCAAAGTACTGTTGGGCATGAAGTGAAAGAAAAGGAAGAGAAGACAAAGTTCTTTTTGCTCCCCCTCAAACATTTTGGTTATTTTCTCTTAAATATAACATTCCAAATTTTATAATTGCTTGCTTCTCTCATCCCCATTTAGAGATATGCTCTTTAGGGGCATCTTAGAGGCTCAAAGACATTGTTTCCACAGAGGAATTCAACAGCTCACAAGTGAAAAAGGCACACTCTTGTTTTCTAACCATGCCTTTTATAAGTATCAAAATTATAATTCTGATTAAAATAATGTAATGAAGGCATACAAGTGTTTTTTCTGTCTGTTGCTAGCTGCAACAGCTGAGCTGAAGTCAAGACCAGTCACAGTTAGCATCAGTGATTGCATCCAAGTAGTCCATCTGGGGATGGAGGGTAGGGAAGGTTTGCCTCTGGTGGGGCCTCTGGACAGGTCGAAGGGTGCAGTATGTTAGGTGTTTGCAAAATCCTCCGAATCCATTGGACATAGAATAGTATCACTTAAATGTTAATGTCTGACTCAAACTTCATTTGATGATCTGTGTTGTCAAAATGCTTTATGTTGTTTTTCTCCTCACAGTCTGTTTACATGTACAGATCCTTCCAACATCATACCTTAATGTCTCTAGGTGGTTCCAAAATGGAAATACTACTAGGATCATTTCTCTTACTCCTTCATCTGCCTTGTAGGAGAAAGCATATGACTGTTCTGTAAAATAAATGTCTTATTTGCATATGTTGATGATAAATTGGTAAATGAAGAATTTAAAGTGGAAGAAATAAGTTAAAGTTAATTTTGCTTTTCTGACCCGTTTGATGAAGTGCTCAAGTGCATATATAACTTTTGTGCTCATGAGGAGTCCTTTTAAGCATCATCGACTGCTCATTTACTTTGAGGTATGTGTGAACTGAAGTGCTATGATCACTGAAAGTTTTGTGCTAGAAGACATATGTGGTCTTGCAATTCCTGCCACGCAACCAAGTATTTTTCACACCATGCCTTGAAATGACTTCTGAAAAAGTGATGCTATTGACTTGGATGATGTGAATTTGACCCACGGATACATCCTGTGGGATTTCAATGTAAAGCTGATCTTCTTTAAAAAAATCAAGTGCAATGCTGATGCAAGAATAATCCTGAAGATTGAATCCTTCTTCAAACCTAGAGTTCAGGTATAAAAACATCATTGACTTTTCACATTATCCTACCAGTACCTCAGAAATCCACTCTTCAGGATCCATTTCATAATTTCAGCTTGAATATCTGTTTGCCTTTTCTCTCTGAGAATGTCTGAAGATGACACTGTGAGTAAGCACTAGACAGAGGTGACCAACTCATTGCACAGAGGCTATCAAATGCGAGTTGTCTTCAGTCATTACTGAACCAATTCATTTAAGATGTGCTGAATTATAAATGGCATTTAAGTTTTTAATTTTCTTTTTGCTGTTTAGCAAAAAGAAGTTAATGTTTTCAAAAGAAAAACATTTGGTTCACGTGAAGTTCCTGAATCCTCTATCCATTCCTTCATTACAGGCTGCTTATTATGTGAGATGACCCCACGTTTCACTTGCACAGAAACAGTAGTGATGGCTGTGGTCTTCTCTGATAATTCAGAAATTAAAATTTTAAGTTGCATCTGTTCAACTTAACTAGCAGAAAAGATGCCAATTCTCAGATGTGTGGTGCTTCTTGGAGCTTTTACTGCTCAGAAATCTAGGCCTTTTGCAAGAATGGACGTGCTATCATCACACTGCCTCTTTGTTCTCACTTTTAAATGACATGCTTGATTCATCTAGGCTTTTTTTTTTCCATGGATAAAGGATAATAATTCAGGTAATGCTTATAAATTCTTTGAAACTATGGTATCCTACTTTAAATTATAGGTGGTTTAAAATTTAGTTTCTGTAGTGATTATGATAAAATATTAAATCGGTACAATTTTCTGTGCTGGAAATTGATTGAACAATAATAATTTGCAATCTTAATGTTCCAGAACCCTGGGGCTGCTGGTAAAGCGGTTGGAGAAGGGTGGAAAAGCCGAACAAGAAAACCTTTTTCGTGAGAATGATTGTATTGTCAGGATTAATGATGGAGACCTCCGGAATAGGAGATTTGAACAGTAAGTTTACTTACCATGTTACGTTTTATTATTTAATCTTTAACACTGCACCTTGCAGTAATTTGAGGAAAATAAGGAAACATTGTCTGAGCTTGCCTTTCCAGTAAAGAAATGATACACAAAGGAACATTAGTGACTTTTAATTTACCAATAATTCAGGATAATTATTGTCTTATAGTATATGCATTTCTCCTTTGATTGATTTTGCACATTATGAATTTTTTCTTCTTGCATTGGTAAACTGTTTATCCTGAGATTCCCATATGACTTTTGCTCTTAGACTTGCAATGCATCGTGTCCAATGTAAGTGGATGATATGGAAACTTTAGTTTTTAACATTTTAAAAATATTTGTGCATTTGTATATGTGAGAACTAAAGGTACTATAGGCAGAAGATTCCTGGGGAAGTTTGAGAGATCATTAATATTTGCTCAGGGGCCACTTAGGCTTGGTAGAATACCAGAACAATCTTTCAGTCAGAAAGATTTTTAAATGTTAAACCAGGTTGTAGTTCACACACAGACAGCTGAAAGAGAAAGCAGAAAAGAGGTATGCAGAAAATGAATGAGCTCAAAGAAGATAATATTGTTCTGAAAACATGTTGAGGGCTAAAAGAATATAATTTATTCTGGTTGTCCTATACTTAATATACATTTGAAATGTTTTTTTTTTATTTCTTTGACTCTAACCTTGATTGGAACACAACTCTACCACATGGCTGTAAGCAACTTGTCTCTGCTTGTGCTGTGGTTCTGAATCACGATTTAAGTCTATGAAGAGATTTACTGACTTTGTGTACTTTGACTTGGGACTTAGAGCTCAATGTCTGTCTGTGCAGGATTAAGCATTTTTTTCCTATTTCTTAACATTATGTTCTGAAAGACTGCTAACTTACAAAAAGTAAAGTGGGAACTAGACCTCTTGAAAGGTTGCATATACTCTTAGCAAATTATGGAAATAGTGTTTATAGAGATTGTAATTTTCATTCTGTTGTCACTGTGATTACTGTTACCACAATTATTGCAATTATCAGGGCTCAAAACAAAAGGGCACCACAGTCCTGCTGTAAAACAGTCTGCATTTCAAGACTGTGGTTAAAATTTTTCCTTTTCTGAATCCAGTATTTGATACGCTAGTTGTTAAGCGTATTTAACCATTGCGTTGCCCTAAGGCAATAAACATTAGCAAAAAGCAGACCAAGGAGGCTAGTGAACAGATTCAAGTTTTATGGTTTATGCTTGAGTGTGATGTGTCTGTCAGCTCGTGTTGCTTAATTAACATTAGTAATTATGCTTATAATGTCTCGTAGTCTGCCAGTCCTAATTTGCTAATTTTCTGTTCATTCTGAAACCCAGAGCACAGCATATGTTTCGCCAAGCCATGCGTACGCCTTTCATTTGGTTCCACGTGGTCCCTGCGGCAAATAAAGAGCAGTATGAGCAGTTGTCCCAGAGCGAGAAGAACACGTACTACTGCAGCCGGGTCAGCCCCGAGGCCCACTACGCTGACGGCAAAAGTATTAACAGTCCTGGACTGCACACCTTACAGAGAATGTCTCGAGCGGGTAACCAGCCCGACCCGACAGACTGCTACTCGCTGCTACCTCATAGCGTCAATTCATCAGGGAAACCACCCTCAGGCCTGCTGCCCTCACCTCAGAAAGTTCTCGCCTCCACTGCAAACAGTGGCTATAACACCAAAAAGATAGGGAAGAGACTCAGTATACAGCTGAGAAAAGGTAAGGCACCAGTGTGCTCCTCCTGTAGCATGAGGTGTGCACGTGGAGCGTATGGGCGTGTGGCCCGTGCCGTTCTGTGGGGCAGGTCAGCTTCCAGCAGCATGGGGGTTGTGATGGGTTGATAATGGAAGCCAAGGGGCTGATTTTTCCCTGATAACACACCCAGGAGTCCAACCATGTGTTGGCTGTGTGTGGTATGTTTGCAAAAGGCTGTTTTAAAGAGTGCTTTAACATTTTTTCTGTCTCAGTGAATAGAGAAGTGCAGTAAGTGCTACAGATTCTGTTGGCCAAGATGCAGGGAGTGGTGAACTATTTAATACAAATAAATAAGCTAAATAGCCCATATTCTGTACTTTACAGTTGTCATGACTTCTCAGGTTGACTGACTGTGGTTTTGCCATTACATTTCAAGAGTGTGTTGGATCCAGTTGGTGAATTGGATTTTCTAATTTCCAGCTAAAGGTTTCCTTCATTCCACTCAGATGTGAAAGTCTTAATGGTTGAGATGTAATGTGATATTTCCTATCTTGGCCCTTATGCTCCTGTAATTCAAAGGGAGGTGAGAGACTATTTAAGGGCAGAGGAGAAAGCGATGTGTGCTTATCTCAACATCTGTGTTACGTGGGCACATGTAGATGCATGGATACAAAAGTGGAATTTTTAGGATGTATTGAATGTCCTAGAGTGATAAAATTTGGTATTTTTGTGTAGTTACCATCTAGATGCTTTTAAGACAGTTTGAAGTATAATCAAATCACATTTAGATGCAAGTGTTTCTTAGCTCTTGGAAATTATTTTTTAAAAGGATTATACATGCTGGGAGCTTTATATTAAAATGGGCATATTTAAGTTTAGATACAAATTTTCTCTGGCAGCAAGAATAGGGTTTGCATTATACAGCAAAATGTTTACTCATGTGACAGTTTTCTCCATGAACTCAAAGTATGTTCCCCTCAGGATATCTTATGTGGTTATTGTTGATAATTTTTATTAATTATTTTTTTACTGAAAGGTATCAAAGACAATGCATTGAGTGGTAGAGATTTTCCATTTTCACAGGTACCAGGCTAGTTGTCACATTATCGTTATGCTTTTCTTTCTGTGAACTTCGTGTGAACCACCAGATTGCTTCTTTCTGGTTGCTGAATTTTAAGCTCTACAAACTTGGATGACATAAGGTTGAGTTGACAGTTTGCTTCTGTTGTTGATGCTCCTTCAAGAAATTCTTTAGGCCATCAGCTCAGATCAGCCTGCTTGGACAAATATATTGTTATTGACTGAGTAAGGAATTGCTGGGCTTACAAATATGATTTTGGTCACTACAGTGGAAATATACATTTCATATAATATATAAGCACCAACAAATGAATATAGAATATGGGAACACAGTATTTTTGCATGAAATAGCTACTCAAAAGATACAAGAATATAATTTTGATGTGTTATGGATTCTTTGACAGGGAAGTGAGGTTATGTTTTGGTCATCTTGCACTGAATACTGTTTCATAAATACTCTGTCCACTTCTGTAATGCAATTTAGCCTTGCTGGCACCAATATATGAGATGGATTTGGAGTGAAGAAGATGCATCGCTACCTGTTGATGGGAAGTGAACTGTAAGATACTTTAACATCTAGTTCACACCAGAGAAATTTGATGGCTTTTATGCTAGTAAAAGGTTTGAAATCTATATCTAGAATATATTTTAGAAATATAGAGGAGACATTTGTTCCTAATAGTTTGCTCATGTGAGAATACAACTTACAAAGTAGTGGCACCTGGCTCAGATTAAAGACAGACAGGCAGAAACTATTTAGTAAGTGTACTGTGTTTTATGTGTGGTGATATTAAAAAAAACAAAAAAAAGAGTGCATAAGGAAGGATACTTTTTTTTTTTATTGTTGCTGTCTTTCATTTGGTAATATCCACTGTAGAAAGAGGCATATCCTTCCATTGTGGCTTTCATTTGATCACTCTGAGAACATACGTGTGGAGCAGCAAATGAAGCAAAACGCTTAAGGATGCCCCCAAGTTGTTTGTTATAAATATGATTGCCATAGGAATGTTGATTGTCTTTGATTATTTCTAATGAAGGATGTTTTAATAATATAGGGCTTTACAGATATTTAACAAATGTGCTTTCTTTGTAGCTAACAGACAGCAGTTATTTTACCAATTACCTTCATTAGATTAAAAACTCCTTGTGGGGTGCATTAAGGCATACAAGCATGCAAAGCTTCATCTTGAAATTCACTTTTGATTTAACCTGATATAGTATATGAGAATGGACTATTTTTTAAAACAGACAGACCTTCTTTATTATGGCTGTCTTTCTATATATTGCATAAGCTTTATTGTATAAAATGACATTGTAAGATAAGCCTGCAGTATGTGCTTCTGTAATTATGATTTCTTAATATTTATTGCTGTTTTGGCATTTTAAAATAGCCTGAACTTTCATAGAATTTAGCTGTTTAATAAAGTCAGAAGAGAAGGTCAGTCATATGTTTCAGTCAATGCAGAATGTTTGTTGGTTTTCTAAATGAAAATGGATATCTGTTTATCTTTCCTTAAAGGTCAGGGCCTGAACTTTTAGCATATAGATGTAGGGGTTATTGCTGATATTCTAATGCCATTAAGGCTGTATAACAGTGTAGCTTAATAGCTCACACAAATTAAGATAGTGCAAGACATGACAGTGAGCCTATATATTTATGACAGTGAGATATATTTTGGTGTAAGCTGATACACAGTAAGTATAAATAAGTAAAAATTATTCTATACAGCTAATATATAGAGAAAATAAGACTGCTGATATAACACTCACAGTGTTAGGACAAATTTTGACCTCATACACACCAGAACAATTCCAGAGTGTTTTTTCTTTGCCTGCAAGGGTTTGAGCCAGTGCAATTGAGCTAAATATAGTCCAACGCATATAAGTAATAAGTAACCAACTGTGCAACAAATGATCTTAAGGCTTAGCCTTTGAGCACTGAGTAACTCGCAGCATTTAGCCCAATACTTGCTAAAATATTCAGAATACTGATTCTCAAGTGGACATTGTATTACTCAGATTTCATATATCCTGGTTTTGACACCACTGTACTAAGACAAGCCTGAATTGCTTAGTCTTTAAATTAGCATAATTTGATTTGCTTGCCCTTAACTATAATGTTCATTGCATCCGATTATTTCTATCTATAACTACATATTTGTCTAGCTAAATTAAATATATAATTGTCAAAGTATAATGTCAAAACATAGCTCTTGTTTTTTAACTTGGGCCTAGTTCCACCAAATATTGTATTGGTTTTGGTGTGAAGTACTCAGTGCATCGGGACTTCAGTCCACATCCCTTGGCTTCCAGAGGGTGACTTGCTGCAGCACAGCTGTAGGAATCAGCACGTGCATCATGGAGAGGATGCTGCAGCTGTGTCCACGGAGGTGGTCTGAGTCCTGGGAGGAAGGAGGCACCTTTGTGCAGTGCAACAGAGAAAAGGGGTTAAACTGTAGATTTGAGAAGGATTATGAGACGTGTTGTTCTTCAGAGTTTCTTGTTGGTTTGCTGGCCTTTCTGTGATTAATAATGCTCCATCTTACATACGAAGCAGAGCTTAAACACTCCAAGTCTCACCAGGTGACTAGGCATTCAGTGTTAGAGTGCAGTGACACAGCCAAGTTCCTTTTTGCAACTAGTCATTAGAGAGACCAGTAAGATGCCATGGCTAGTTTGGGAGTGTGCTCATTTAAAACTACATCATATTTGCTATGGAGTAAAGCACAGATATGGACAATTACTTGTTCTGCTTGGGTAAACAGTGGGTGCAAGACAGGACCCTGAACTTGCCTGTAAGATACCCTGCATCATATATCTGAAGTGTACAGATTTACATGCATTTTTCATCATACTCTCTTGTTACCCCACAGTTTTTTTAGCCAGATTTGAACTGACATTCTACATTTTTGTTTAAAAAAATTGTTTTGTTTCTTTTGAAGTGATATGTTCTCTTAGGCTGATTTTATAATTCCTGTTCAGATTCAGTAGACGTGTTTGTCACTTTTGAAATGAAGCATGTAGATTCCTAAATTACTTAGGTGACCTTGAGAAATGTGATTCAAAAGTGAAACAATTTTGGGCATTACTAGCCACTGAAGAAATGTAAACAGCATCAAGTTTCATCTTTCTATTTTTTTAAAAACACTTTTTTATCACTGTTTATTGGCAGGGTGTAACAAAAAAGGGAAGAATGTTTCTATGAGGTGGATCAAAGACCTTGAGAGATCTGAGCTTTGCTTAGAGAAAAAAAAGTTGTTGCAAATCACTCAACTACATGAAAATAAACATGCAATTAATTTGTCTTGATTGTGCATGCGACTGCAGAAATTTTATGGGGAGCTGAGCAGTCAGCCTTCTAAGCAGTCATTTGCATGTACAGTTACCCTGTCTACACATACCCAAATTCTGGGTTTAAACTAGGAGCAGTAAAATAAGTTTTCAGGAAGTGTCTAAAATGGTCATGCATTAGTTTAGTGAAGCCTCTGACAATAAAGGGAACATATTTACTCAGCTCTAGCATGAGATCCAGCCATAATAAAAACTGCTTTTGAGCATAAAACAGTAGGATAATTACTTCAGCAATCACCCATCTGTAGACAGGTCTCAAAAAAGCATCTACTGTGGAAAGGCAGGAACATGAAATGCTTGGAAGGAGTGTGTCTACTCTGGTTATTATCAGAGAGTGTTTGGCCTTTCTGCTTAGTTTTATTGTAATGTTGTCTCTCTCCTTAATCTGGATCATTTTATAATCTAATGCTTTCATTAAGTGGGGAAGCTGCATTTTGTAATTTTTGTGATTTAGTGCCACAGGGTGTTTATGTATATAACCAACCTCCCTTGTTGTTTTTGGAAAGGAAATATGTATGCTTTGTTTTTCATGAAGAATCTACACTTTTCCTTAACAATCCTTTATTCCTTCTGAGGACTGTTCACCCCCATGGATTTTCCATCCTTGCTTTTTATTTCTGGCAGTGAAAATTTAGACTTGCAGTGGTTGCTGGATAAGGGACGCACAACTTGTCTTGCACAATAGCCTTAGAAAGTTGTTATTGCCAGAGCCACTTTTTGCACAATCAAGAAGACAATACTAGTTAGGACAGTCTTTGCTGGGAGATAACAGAAAGTCTAGCCACCTCTAGTAAGATTTAATACATTTTTCTAACATCCTATCAGTTTATGATCAGTCTGATTCCAAATCATATGATTTTTTTAAATATGAATTTAATTACATTAACGTCTCACCCTACACCTTCATGCTAATAGAACGTTTTGTCTCTGAAACATCAATTCTGCCCCTCTTCTGTTGCTAGAACATAGTTCTTTAATTATTGTTACTGCCCTTTTTATTCACCTAGAACTACTTTGTCTTCAGCTCAGAGCTGGCTGACCTCTTGAGGGTAATTCAACCTTAAAAGCTATGCCACATTCAAGAAAAAAAGAGAGCTCTAAGTTGTTGAGAGAAGAAGCCTAAGAATTTGAATTGCACAAGTTACTGGGTAATTCTTAAATGTTATTATCACTTGGTGTAATTTGATCATCAGAGATGACAACTATGGAGGGAGGAAGAAGTTTTCTATCCTTCATCTTTTTAAAATCTGTAAAAGATTGAGCTGAACATAGTTCAAATAATCTAGACCTTGCAAAGCAAAGCTCCTAGCTTTGAGTAAGATAACTCCCGTGTTTACAAAAATATGGAAGTTCCTTCTGTTTTCTACTCGTGTTCTGTTTCTGCCTGTATGTAGGTCCGGTTTCTCCTGTACTATTAGTATAAATCAGAGATATCAGAGGAGCCTGCAGTATGTTTGCACAGATCCCTCATTATTATAATGCAGCATTATACCCTGAGAACTGAAAACATTTTAGCAGCCGGAAGATATTTAGGTCCTATATACATTTCTATCAACAGGAGAACTGAAATGTATGCAGGGCCGATAGCTAAATCAGTTGATGTGTATAAAAAGGAAAAAACCCTGAAAGCCAATCCAGTCACAGAAGTCATATTTATTTTTGGCCTCAGCTGAATGTATCCATTTATTTCCCAGTCTCGTGAACATCTAATTTATATATGCATATATATATATATGCATAGATATGCATATATATATATATGCATAGAAGCTTATGAAGCTGTATTAAACAGCTAAGGGCAGCTATGGTGCATGGATAGTAAGATGGAAAGGTAAAAGTAAAACGTCACCCAAAAGCTGCCTTATGCAAAGCTCTATAGATCAGCATAGCAAAGCGTAGCCCAGTTGAGACCCCTTCTCTCCACAGAAACAAGTAATTAAAATTTTCTTCTGCTATTATCTGGGCTCAGTGTGGATTTGTGGTGTTCTGCCGGCTTTGGTAAAGGCTTTCTGGAGATTTGACAGCAGAAAATGCCACATTCCAAATTTATATTCTGTGTGCATTTGTAAGGTGAACATTTCAACTTCTGTTTTTTCTGTGGGGGTTTAAAGTGGAGTGTGTGAACCAGACATCTATAATGACATCGTTATCAGGCTGTGGGGATTAAGCCTATTAATAATGAAATATTGTCCTGGGTGTGCTGTCATGTTCAGACATTACGTTAGAAATCTTAGCATACAAAATCTGTACTCAAAGAACAGTATTCAACACTGATCCTTAAAATAAGAAAAAGATAAATTCCATAAAAAGATGTGACTTAATAAAACCTTGTATTTATACAGATCATCTTCACATGTTGCAACCAGTTAAAGAGCCCTACAAATGTTTGAAGAACCATTAAAATTGTGAGGTCTCCAAAGTAAAATATGGATGTTATGAGATCTAGGTTTTTTTTGTCTCTGTGCAATAGCACTGATAACTTTGATATCGGCCTGAAAGTGGATGAAGGCTTTCAAATTCAAATGTCAGTTTTTCAACTGTCTTGAATGATGCAGAATGAAGGGAGGCTGTCCCACAATAATTAAACTAGAGGAAATGATCTAAAACTCCTGAACAATACATGCTGCATATACATGAGGACTTATATATGTTCAAATTGAATATTTTAAAAGGTTATGTCACCTCGAGCCTTGTCATTTACTTCTTAATGTATTATCATCTTGATAATAAAGTATGTTGTACTAAATTTTAATCAAATGTAATTGTGCAGATTTCAGAAACCTGTGTGTAGCCTACTCTTGACGATATTAGACTCCTGCTTCCTTTTCACATGTGAATAGTAGGTAAAAAAGCTCAGTTAAAAAACAGATTTGGCAAATGAACAGGGGGAGCAGTAAGATAGAAATTAGTTCAGGCTTTAACCTTGTGGTGTGTTGAACTTGGCTGGATAGGGGAGAAAAAATAGAATGGAAATCTCATGGTTCAGGGTAAGGACAGGGAGAGATCACTTACCAATTAATGTCACAGGCACAACAGATTTGACTTAGGGAAATTAATTTATTGCCAATCAAATCAGAGCAGGACAATGAGAGATCTTAAAACACCTCCTCCCAACCCTCCCTTCTTCCTGGGCTCATTTGCACTCCCGTATTCTCTACTTTGTGAATCCCAGAGCTAGTGATGACCCGAGGTACACTTCGATAACCAGCTACAGGCATAATTTCACTGAAATACAAGTAAACGTCAGTTTCCATATTGAGTGGACACCCTTTCTGGATTTCTCCAGGTCATCCTCAAGGTCTCCGTTTTGCTTGAGTTAGTCTTAGCCAAGTGTAGTCAGTCACCTGAATGCACAGCAGGACCTGAGAAGTGGCAGCCTGGCTCTGCTCCCTGCCTGTGTGGCAGAAGGTGGGTGGAACCAGCGAGAGCTGGAGTGAAGCCCCGGAGTGGAGGAGCTGTTGACAGAAAACAGCCTGAGGTCCTTGAAGCAGAAGAAACGAGACCACTGAGCTCCGCTTCTGTCTGTCACCTGCTGGTGTCCATAAGTGAGCTGACAAAGCCCCATGGCCAACATGGCCAACTACATTGCTGAAAGAGTTGGGAAACAGAAAGAAAAGATTATTCACAAGATCCAGATTGACAAGGGGGAAGACAGCGGTAGGATATCAGATCTACTTTGTTCTGATTCCTTGTCACTCTGCTTATCCGAAATAGAAAGTTGGAAATGTGGCAATGACTTGGAAATCGTTGGAATAGCAAGTTGCAAGGAGGGCCTGCTGAGCCACCTGTGCCAAGACTCAGTGCTTCAGCTACAGCATTCCTATATATGCCTTCTTTTTTCATTTTTTTCTTTTTTCCTTTTTTATTCTTTTTTTTTCCATGCAATATTGCTTACATTTTACATAGGTATTTTTATGGGCTGTATCAGTGAGGTATATGTATACATACTGGATAAAAATAATATGCAATCTATATAATGTGCATTTTACCAAGTACTATTCTACATTCTTTATGCAGGTACAGAAGGCTTGGGATTTAGCATTACTTCAAGAGATGTCCCAATCGGTGGCTCTGCTCCAATTTATGTGAAAAACATCCTTCCCAGAGGTGCAGCTATTCAAGATGGGAGACTAAAGGCTGGAGACCGATTAATTGAGGTGATGAAGTGTTATATGTTAGTTGTCCATATTTTGGCATGAGTCCATGCAGTAGTTCACTTCCAAAGCCTCTTAGTAGTTTATGTTCCAGGAAAATGTTTCCCCTTTTTTTTTTTTTTTTTTTTTTTTAATTTTCTTTGATTTTTTTAGGTGACAGACCAAAGGCTGTGCATTTTTGGTACATAACTGTTTTCAGAGCTGGATGCAGACGTACTATGAAAATAAGAGCTTACATATCCTGTGTGAATATAGTGTCTTAGTCTTGCATTGCTGTTTAGGAATAAGGTGACACAAATCGATTGCTACCTAATAAGCGGCATTAAGTCATCATGGAGTGACAGACCAGAAAATACTGAAGATGTTGCAAGTATGGAAAACGATAAGCTGAAAAGGTTTAGTGAATTAACTGAAAGGGACAACGTAAGAGGAGGGTAGTGCTACAGAAAATCAAGGCCACTTCCCTCCCGAGGGGAAGATGTCCTCAAAGGAATTAAATTTGTCTTAGATAGGTGCACAGCAGAGATCCTCCTGCAAATCTAGCTGGAGTGTTATAAGATGTTACCACCCACAGCTTTTCATTACTGTCCCTAAGCCAAATGACACTGGAGGTACAGCTGAGACTGTAACTGTCTCTCAGAGCCCTAACTTCACTTTACTGCCAAACTGGCAAAGTCAGCTTGAATTGCTGCTGGAGGATAGTCCTGTGTAATTACTATAATTCATGGTAACCCAGTTGACTTGGGTAGAAAGGGACTCAGAACCTTTTAAGACAACAGTTAACAGCATCTCAACTGTGTGAGCTGTGACCTTACAAGGGGAAAGAAAAAGATTATCTGCTGACTACTTCTGAGCGCCATGCTCATTTGCTTAACACCATTTGCTGATTTGCCTTATATTCTGAAAATATTTCTGAACAGGCAAGCCTGAGAATATCTATTTTTCTCTGGCTTGTCCCTTATTCAAGGTAGCTCACAGAGTGGGAAATTTACCTGATGTATCCCATACCTTTCTGTACTGGTAGCTGGTATGTGGAGGCCAAGAGGCTGGATGACTGAAAAAAGGCAAAGGTAACTGCTCCAAAGTTCTTTTTGGGGAAAAAAAATATTTTCTACTTTTGACACTATTTATTATGCAAGATATATTTGGAAGATATGTGTAACAACAAGGCATGTGGAAACAGGGCCAGATTTGGATCACACTTTGATTTCATCAAAGGATTTTTGTGCAGAAATTCTGGTAAAAAATAGTGGTGGATGGAGTATACAGCTGCTGCTAAAGAGGAGGGAAGTATAACTGTCTTGCTTCTTACTTGTATTTGCATGTAAAGAATGTGTGTTTAATTACTTCTAATGGAAGCTGTACTGAGCCAATAAGCAGATTGCTTCAGTGAGGTTTTTGTTAAGTACTGTCCGCTATGATTCCCATGACTTTTCAGTATGAATTGCTACAGGTTTTCCTGTTTTGGACTCCTATCAATTTCTAATATTTCCTTTGTTACAGGTAAATGGAGTTGATTTAACGGGCAAAACTCAAGAAGAAGTTGTGTCCTTGCTGAGAAGCACCAAGATGGGAGGGACTGTTGGCCTTCTGATTTTTCGTCAGGAAGAAACATTCCATCCAAGGGAACTGGTGCGTAAAATAGAGAGCAGCTAAGAGATTTAGATGACTATGAGCAAATGATTTGGTCTTGTCACCTGCTAGTGAATATGCATGGCCAGCACTGAATATAGGAAAAAAACCCCAGCTATTTCACTTTATTTAGAACGTTTTACATGAATGTTTTTTATTGTCTTTGAGACCTGTTACTGAAATTAAATATTTGTTAGTAATGTATAAGTGAGAGTTTTATTTTAATTGAAAATGTTTATTATAGAAAAAAAACTATTGTATGGACATTTTTGCATGCATGCAGACAAGTAGATTATTTCATATCTTTCATGTGGACAAATCTGTTTGAAAGCCTGCCATTTGTCCCACTACTTGCTCACTAAAATATTTCAGAGCATATACTACTATGCTAAAATAGCATATGTAAATACCTTTCTATCAAAAAGTGGAATATATAAGAAATAGTAGCCTTTTTTGAATATAAATGCAATCTCTGTGGAATGGAAACCCTGCAGTTATTAATTTAGCAGGGTAATTCAGAAAATGTTTATGAGGAATTTACATGAAATGGAAATAAAATGATGTTTCATACTCTACCTGTTCCACTTGCATAGTGTATACAGATATTTCTCTGATAATTATTCAAGATAATTTCAGTTATGAAAAGGTAGACTGTGAATGCAGCAGTCTTACTGTGTTCTTTATTCAATTAAACTGCTGAATGTATTTATTATTTGTACTATCATATCTATATATAGCTCTAAAAAATAACTTATTTGGCTGAATTGTTGTGAAAAGATAGACCAATATAAGTATAATTAAAAGTTTTCTTTTTTTTTTTTTTAATGGCATTTGTGTTATTTTGAGTGCAAAGAGAATGAATTTGTGTTTGACCATTTCAAGTCATTAAACATTAGCCTTTTACTTTTCAAAACTACAATTAAAGATAGGAAATCAGAGTGGCAGGGAAGGCTGCAAACGAACCACACTTCTTCCTTAATGTTCTTGCAACATGACCTCAGGTATTGAAGTGGAAGCTGTTATAAAATACAGAGAAATTAACAATTTGAAATATTATGCTCTATCTTATTACTGGAACTGTAAAAACAATCTGTTTATAAGTTCCTATGATGTAATTTTCACAGTATTGCTATCTTTCATACAAGTGAATGAAAATGCTTTTAAACTTTTTTAAATAAACGTAGAAGTAAGAAAATGTCTTAATTTTTGTGTATATTATTTCTACAGTAAAATGAGGAAATTATAATGCATAACTTAATACGATACTTTGTTTAAATAATTGTAAACAAATATATGATGTGAGTAATGCAGAGATTTAATAATATTACTTGATGTAGTATTAAAAAATAACAGCAAATCACCCCCTTAAATGAGTTCAACCTCAGCAGCCTCCCTGCTGCTGCTGCTCAGGCAATATTGTCTCAGCTATTTTGGCAAACACCAGCATGGGGAAGCCAGATCTCACTGTGGCTGTGTCAGATACTAGGTGGACTCTGCACTGTGGAGTCGGGGATCAGATCTGAACTGAAGTATGTTTCTGTAGCTCCAGTTGAGCAAACAACACTGTAAGGATCTGACAGTATGTGTGTGATGATCCTCTGTTGCATAAGAATTTGTTTGCATTTTGACATAAAGAAATGTTAGGTGAACTTTGCTGACAGCTGTCAAAGAGCAGAAGCAAAACTGCTGGGGAAGGTGTTGAACTAAAACCCATCATAAGGGCTTTTTTTTTCTTCTCTGGTAAGAAATAATCTTAAAAGAAAAAAAAAAAAGTCTTTGACCAGCTCCTTTGTCTTTTTACTAGCTTTATGTATGAGAAAAAAAAAAAAGAAAATTAGTCTTAAAGGAGGGAGGGGAATTATCTGAAGTCGTATCACTTCATCTTTTTCATATGTAAAGCTTCTTTGGCCACTTAGGAACAATTTGTCTTTGCATCCTTCCCCTATTTCTGTCATATCTTCTACATTTGTATGCTTTAAATACTAACTGAATGAGATGTGTCTCAGAAACCATATGCATAAAATCATGTTATTTGATACTACTATTCATCTCAAGAAAGGGCAGGATTTACTCTTGCTTGCTGAGAAGCATTTAGTATTAAAACCATTTTATATTTGCCAAAATTTGTACAGATATAATCTCAATAAAAGAGGTGTTTAGATTTTATGTTTTGGGTTATGGCTTTTTGAATGACTTTTGAAAAGTTATTTATCCTTGGGTTTCTTTATAAGTAAAATGAAGATAATAAACTTTCAGGAGAGGTGTGGAATTTTATGTCTTTGATTTATGTTGCCATTATTGTCTGGAAGGGACCTATGAAAATGTGTAGTTGTATCTAAAATTTATGGGAATGTTAAGCTGAGCCCCTTTAGGTCAATATGGGATATTTGTAGCTTTTGTGGTCAGGTTAGGGTGATTATGTGTGATGGACAACCATCATCCAGGGCAGCAGATCGTGGTACAAGTGACTAAAATGTGGAAGCAAGGAATAAAATCAAATCTGCATAGTCAGCTTTTCTAACCAGTGAGATCTGGTGGAAGGATTATGGTTCTCCAGAATACCAGGCATTTTATTGTTTCCAGAGTTACCTAATTCCAGATAGGTAATATATCCTTGTCCACATATAAAGCTTGACCACATCAGTGTGAGAAGCAGGTTGTCTCTTAAAAATCTTCCCTCCATGCTCCCTTCCTTTATGAACGGGTTGAGGATTGTTCTGGTTAATACGAGTTCCTGTCATACTGTTGTTAACTCACATAACCAAACATAACTTGCTGTGAAGGATTTTCATAGAGCCTACTACAGACTATATGAATCCACTGAAGGTTTGACTTGGGTTATTTAGCTTTTGAGCTAAATTCTCAGTATCAGCAGAGACTGGCTGGCAGAGTTAGTCTCCCGTATCCCACAAGTTAGTATGCCTATTACTACTTCTAAGTCCTTTTCACATTCCTGGTAGTTGGCTACTTCATTGGTTTTTTTTCATTAGTAGTTGGCTGCAGGTTAAAGCTAACGATGTTTATGTTACTAATTGGCCATTACATTTTTGTGTGTAATCATTTGAATTTTCTTCAAAACAGTCCAAAGCAAAAAAAGTCCAGTAAACCCTGTCATTTCATTTTGGCCCAGAAAAAGAAATGGAAAGAAATTGCTGCTTGGCCTGAAAATGAACAGCCAGAGAGCAGCAAGGCGGCTCCTAGGTGCTCAGGGGGGGTTTTACTGTGGGCGGACATGGGCTCGGGAGAGTAATAGTTCCTTGTGGGTTTCCAGAATTGGTTAGGGGGTGCAGATGTGTGATGTGTGTTTGCCTTATGTGTCCTGACACACAGATGAGGAATGCAAAGTATAGGAGGGTCCATCTGTGGTGGACTGAAAGTATCCCCCTGTCCTGGGATATCCAGTGCTGTAGTTTGGGTACATCCAAACATGTTCAAAAGAGGGATTCCTTGTTAAAATAACAGTGGATATTCTAAAAAATGCTACTTATTCAGAACATTTGGGAAGGTTCATCTGAGATGCTGAGGTAGTTCCCTGAGAACTCCAAAACAGAAGGGAAAGGCGGGGGGGAGAACATCCCTGAATAAGAAAATTCCACCAACTAGAAAGTGGTGCAAGCAGCTGTGATTCTTCCTTGGCCAGAGAGTCAGCTCCTTTGCAGCCAGATAAAGTCAGGTAGATGCACTGGCCTAAGATCACTGGAGGTTATTTTTGTTTGCCTCTCATTTAGTGCTTGTTTAGCCAAATTTGTTTCCAGGGGTGTGATGAACACTGTAATTTTCCATTACCACGTCACATCAGAATTAGAGCTCTTTGTTTATTCCCCTGCTGATAGATAGTATATGTCGTATGTAGTCGTGTTCTTATTTATTTTTTTTACTTCCTTTAGAATGCAGAACAAAGCCAGTCACAAATTCCAAAGGAAACGGTAAGAGCTTTGTCTTTTCCATCCTGGAAGACTCCCAAATGTTTTTAAATTGATATGGCACTTCTCCATCAAAGTTTCACAGATCCTCCTTCCACCTTATATACTGTAGATGGCTCTCTCTAGCTTTACATTTTAAATGTGTTTTTTAATGTAATTTCAAATACTGTTTGAATATTGTATACAATTCAGTTACATTATATATGTTCAAGTGCTATTTGAAATTACATCTCTTCTATACAGCCAAAGGCCTAAAGTTGGAATAAGAGTAGACTTTTAGCTTGGGTTACCTGTTAAAACTAATTGTTTAAATTATGATTATGTAACTGAAACCTGAGATACAGAGAAATTAGGCAGTTTCCATTTAAGCCTCAGTTGTATCCTGATAGCAAACTACTGTTTGTTAGCTGTTTTTAAGAAACCGTAAGGAATTAGTATAAAGCTTAACCCTTTGATGGCTGTAACAGGTTTGTATGTGATGTGTCAGTGAGGCTGTATGTTGAGGTTATACACTGTTTATATACCTTATTTTAGTCAGTGGAACAGGATCAGTCTGAATACATATTATACTAATATATGCAAAAAGTTTGTCTACAGTAAAAGGTTTATTTTATGAAATATTAAGAGAGGGTATAACTAATAAATCAACTTAAGCTCCATTCAATTAGGTAACTGTTTTAAAATTAAATTAGATTATGGAGAAGTTAAGAGGATTCGTGCTGGGATTTGAAATTAGGCTGTTGAAAAACAGAAATAAAACTTTTCTCTATGATTCAGAATTCTTACCAGCAATTGTGAGATGGTGTCTGGGATAAAAAGAAAGTCAAGACGAGGTAAAGAGATGTGAGAACGATCTCAGTGAGCTAGTCAAGGGTACGTTGCCTGATACTATTAATGCTTCAGGCCAATGGAACGTAACTGCTAAAATAGGTGTTTGGGTTGAATGTTAGCAAGACCCACTTTTATCCTTCCAGCTTTTGATGTCCTTCTAGTCTGAAAGGCATCTGCATAAGGGCTCTACAAAATCATGGCTGTATCATTGTTTCAGACATGCCTTGCAGTATGTTTTTAGTACATCTCAGTAGAGTATGTATGTTTTTATCTTCATAGTGTCTTACCACATACTGCTGATGTGTAAGGAGATCAAAGATCAAAGCCCAGGACAGAATCTCTGCCTGTAATTGAATATAATTCAGAATAATTTGTGAGTGCAGCCTTATGAAAGTTTGCTGGTTTTAGGAGTTGAAATTCTGCCCCAAAAAGCTTCCTAAGATTAGGCAGATTGCCTACAATGTGTTTACACAAATCAGTTGCTCTTCTCTTGCAAAGTTAATGTTTTGTAGCAAATTCCATGATGAAATCCTTTTTCTGCCATTATTGGAACCAACATTTTGACTTCATCTAACGAAATACCAACAGAAAATAAATATCTCTCATTTGTTCTCTATAGACTTAAGCTAAATTTGCTTGTGAACCAAGACGGACAGGGAGTGTACAAGTAGATAGGAATTCCTGAAAAACTAACCAGAAGGCCCTAGCAAGTCATGGAGACATGAAAGTGAATTGGGAAACATGTGGAGATGTGTTTGATTAGTGAGAGAATGAAACTAGAAAGCTGGTCAATATGAATATGTTTTTTTGCATAATGTCTTGGGTTTTTCATTTACTATTAGGTGGGATTTTTTTTTTGTTATTTATTTGAATGGTCAGAGGGACAGTAATCAATAGTAGGAACAATAGGTCTCTTTACGTTTGCCTGTTAGGTAGGAATAAGAACTGGACTAAACATGAAAGGTGTCAGTGAGTATTTATAGTGCACAATGCTTTTGCACTTGCCTCCCTTATTCCAATCTACTTTGCTTTGGATAAATGTGATACTTCATTTCTAAAGAATTCACTTTCCTCAGCTGCACATTAATAATACAGATACACACTTTTTAAATTATTATTTTTGAAACTATTTTTCCTTGCTTTCCTTTATTCTCCTTGGTTCTGCCTCAATTCCTATTTATTCATCCTCTGTCTACATTTCAGGTATTCGAGATGTCTATTGCAATTTCTATTTCTGTGCCTGCTCTGATCTTTGGGCGTTTAGTTGTTAGATTTTAGTCTTCAAGTGTCAAGGACTTGATAGTAGAAAGGAAAAAAATCAACAACAAAAAAAGCATGATGAAAGGAGGAAAGCTATAGAAATGAGAGAGGTGAAATACAAGTCTGTTTTTAATTTAAAGGCAAAATGGTTGTAATTTTTTTTTCTTGTTATGCCCTTATGGGGAAATAGAAACAAAAATGCACCTTTGAAATTAAAAAAGAAAAAAAAAAAAACCCTCTTGAAAATGGAAGGCCTGAAATAAAATTTATATGTCAATCCCAAAATATAAAGCCTAATTTATCAGCATATCATTAACACTCAGAGGATACATTCATGTAACTGTTACTTTGAAATGATTTGCATTAATATTGTGGCACTTAGATGCAGCACGTAGTCTTCATGTATATAGTAAAAGAAAACCTTGAAAATTATTTTTTTCTTAATTTATTTGTGGCCTAAAATCCTTGAGGGAATTAATTGTCACTATCCATTAAAGGAAAGCTTATGACCTCATGCGTTGCACACTATCACAGACTACAGATTCTTATATTCTCATTCTTCAGCTTCCATATGAGGAGTTTCTGTGACTTGCTAAGCTCGTAGAATTTAAGCTTTGCTCTCCAGTTATCCATAAGAAATACAAATTAATAATGCAACTTCAGCTTCTATCTAGTAACTGTCCCCTGGTGAAAGCAGCACTGCTGCTTTTACCTTCTGTCTTGCTGACGAACAGAACAGGAGCTCTGTATATTCCTGAAGCAAGGAAATCTCCCCTGTCTTAGTTGGAAGGTTTTTTCACCCAGGCACGAGTTTGTGCCATTTGTACGGCTGGTGACAACATGGAGCAGATGCACCTATTTCTAAACATGATGATTATTTGGAATGTAAGAGATTGACCGTAATATGAAAAGTAGTAATTTATCATTATAACATTTCTGTTTCTAAGCATAATTATCTAAATCTTATTACAGAGCATTGAAATGAACTGTTAATTATGCTATGTAAAACATCTGCCAATTAATTTTTCCTCATACTCTTTGAAAGTCAGTAGTTTTTCAGTAATATTTTGCTTTTACAATTGCCATTCACCAGTGTCTGAATTCAGAACTGGCAAGTTAACTTTTATATCAGCATAATGCTAGAAAAATAACAATTATTGGGTAAGTAAGTATTTCTGGGGAGTGTTGTCTGTTGGTAAAAAGAGATTCAAAGTTAGGATTCAGGATTTCATTTCATGATTTTTGCACTCAGCAGCATGAGAAAGCTTCAGTTTTCTGTTCTCATTTGTTTTTCTGTCAAATTGCTGTAAGTGAGCAGAATGTTATGAATTTCAGCGAGTGCAGGATTCGCAACAGTGACATAACAAGA